TATTTTTATTACAATACGTATTATAATTATTACACTGCTTAGAAATGTATTTATTTAAAACCAGTATTGATTTTTTTTAAGATAAAGCGATTAACACACCGTATGAAACAACGTTTATGCTTATAACTTTCCAACCAGTTTATAGCTATTCGTTTTTAGTAATTTGAACTATGCTTAACTTTTCTGAAGTACGGGAATAGATAGGAATTCCTTATTTATTATTATTATGTTTTACGTTGCTAAAGCCAATTTTTTTTTTAAATGTCTTCATTTTGTGTTAATTATGACGAATATTTTATGGCAAGCAACCACTTTAACATTCCGGCAAACTGTTGCAAATCACGATATATTAAACGTATATGTTTTGGAGTGTCGTTATCAAAAATATAAATTTAAAAACTAAGATCTGTATGTCAAAATTAACATTTTCACCAAAGGTATTTTCTAAAGTGGCGAGAAATAGTGACAACAATTTAAAAACGCATCATCGCACGTGACCGATAATCGGAACTTAAAATTCACAAGCTTCTTATATGATACGTGTTCCTGAGTAATAATTTAATGAGATCATCAGGTTATATCCGTGTAGAATAATATGTCCGTTCTTTGAAAAATTGTGCGTGAATGCTAATATAGGTGTATAATTCAGAACTACTATTCGATCATAAATAATACATTTTGTTATTCGATTATTATATTATTATTATTATAAGTACCTATATAAGTAATAGGCTGTACACCGGTCGTGTTTTCAGTCGTTTATTATTATGTTGTTGTTGTTAACACTGTCTCATATTCATACCAGCGTGTACGATAGTTAAATAAGCGCACATAATAATATTATATTAACTTTGCGGCAGCAGTTATTCGTCTGCGCTCACGACCCATATAAAATATTATACTTTTTAATATGATTATTGCGATACCTTTATGTCTACATAATATCTACTGCATACTATATTAAGTTATATCAAAACAAGGGGCTCTTTCGCTTCATTCACCAACCTCCATTCAATATATWTTTTTTTTTTTGCKAGTATGAATAAGTTAATATAACTCGGCTAGTATAAATTATCTGAATGACAAATCAAGAATAACAAACAAATATGTAATGCCCCATCAATTACAATATTTTCAATTAATTCCATCTCAGTTTGCTGCACTTAATCATGATTCCCAACAATATTTAAATCWTGAAAATTGAAAATGTTGTTTACCACGTGTAATTATAATAATTTATAGTGTCTTTAAATGTATTAAATAATCCAAATTTATCCCAGTGWCTTTAAACAGTTCAAACAGAATTCCCATTTTCAATTTTGAGAAACTTACCATTATAATATGGACACTTTTCTATCTCACCATCACTAATATGTAAATATTCAGGCTTATTTGTATGTTTTTTTCTTTTGTTACGCAGCCTCTTCTATTCATCTTAAATTGTAAAAACTAGCTTTCGTRTTGGTTGTCACAATATTATTTCTTAGAACTTTTTTGTACAGTACAATGCATGGTTATTATCATATTATTAWATAATTATGATAAAGTCGATAAACGACGATTGTCCGCGGGGTATCCCCCGGCGTTWGGTGGATGTCGCTGCAGGGATGGGTATCGAAAAGCTGAACTCCGCAGCATCCACGCATACATAAACCACATAGCCGGTATTTGTTATGCATGTAATGCACGTTGTGCTGCATTTATATCTACATCATATTCGTATATATTATATGACACGATATTGTTATATATATATATAGCTAAGTGTACGTGTGTAGTATATATATATATAACTGCCCCGGGCCACCTATGATATATACGCGGCTACCGTCTCTCGCGTCCGTCGCCGTCGCACACCTGCGCGATTAATGTCRGCCGGTTGACGACGTTACTGATCGTCGACAGGTCTAGTCACAGCGCGCCGACTAGTCGTCGTCGTTGTCGTCGTCGTCGTCGGAGGCCACCGAGGTTACCCACAATGTTGGGCATACATGTCATAATATACACAATACAAAAACCCACTCTGTATAGGCCGCGTGGTAAAGTGAAGAGAGCCACTTGCCATAGTCGGCGTTTGAGAGCACAACCGGACTGCTGTAGTAGCTGTACGCGTAGCCCCCATACATAGGCAAACGACAAAATATTCCCATCATCTTGGCCTCTCTCTGCGCTACCGCCGCCGCCGGTCGAGCCACCCCGCCCTAGGCGATGGTGCATTACAAAACATGTATGCGTACGCGTATATAATGTACATATTATATGTGTATGTGTGTGTGTGTGTGTGTGTGTAATCCGTACTTATATATACGCTAAACTGCTAAAGGATATATATACATCACGCTCACGTATATATAGATATGTGTCCGCGAAGACGTGGTGGCACGCCCACACTATACATATATACCTAAATGTATATACTATGGTAGCCGATGGCGCGAGGGTATTTGCAATTTTTTTTTTTCATTATTGTTGTTGTTATTTTCATCGGCAGCGTAGTGACGTGGGAACGAAAAACACCTAGCGACTTATCCCCCGGCACAAAAGCTGCTCCGCCACGTGATATCTCCACTTCGAGATCCCCTCCTCTACACGACCACGGTGCGATATAGGTACCAGCACATTATTGTACCTAGGTATATGCGTTTGTATATTAATATATTATATATGGTGGAAGGAGGGGAAAGAAAAAATTCGCGAAGACGACGACGACGACGATGGCAATAATAATAGTAACAATAATGGTATACAGCTGCACGAGTGAAAAAAAAAAGAAAAAACTATAAGCCGTGCCACAGACTGTCCGGGGTCAAGGATCCGCGGTGCACACATGTGGGGTCGTCAAAGATGGGCATACGGCGGTTTTTGCGGTCGCACGCATCCCGATATGTAGGACAGACGGACGGAGAGAACGGTTTCCGTGTCCGTCGTCTGCCTCTTTGATAAACCGCGTCACGTATGCAATATATATAGTATCCAACGCGCCGTGCAGGATACTCTTGCGCGAAACAGACCCCCGACCACCCACTCCCCACGCCACACATACACACCCACCAAGAGTCGATAGGTACCTACATGTCAACCAATCGGTCGCTGATCGGAACTTTTGTATTACAATATGTACGTAATTGTGTTGAGGTACTTATACCTATAAACCAGGAATGAGAAACTTTAACCAAAGGGCCACTGCAGTGTTCAAAACTTATAGTCTGGCTGTCCGGATCGCAGTGTAGGTCAGCGTTTTGGTTTTGTCTTCTAAAAAAAGATTGAAGTTTAAAACATGGCGTGACCTAAATAATATGAGTACGCTCATTCCAATATCATACCCAGTAAGTAAAACGACAGGGATGCGGGCAACTTGCCCCCATGGAATTTTATCACAAAGCTTAGAATAAAGTTTCCTCTCTCTATCCAGGTATGACAACTTCAGTACCTACAAATAATCAAATCTTCTAAAATAAAGAAAGAATGCAACATTCAAGATAGATTTATAAGATAGCAAGACTAACTATTACTGATATTCATTTACTTCACGTGTCAGCTGTTGTTTAATATTATATGTTGAGGTATTATCAACGTTTTCGTATTATCCGAGYTACAAAAAAAAAACCCAATACAATTATGTGATAAATTATGATTACAGAATTATTGTCATCATATTTTTCATCATATTCGTACAAATTATACTATCCTTTTTTATTAACTATTATACCAAGGTAACTAAATACTTAATATTTTTTAATGATATATGTGTATTTACAAATTAATTTTAAGCCATAAAATATGTCTTAATAAGACTTGTGTAATTAGGTTATATAGTTTTAATTATAGTGAAAAAAAGCGCCTCTATCTAGATTTTTAAAAAGTTACACCACTGAAAATATCTATACATGTATTATATCAGCCACGTTTGAAAAACTATAAGAGGAATGCTATGYCAGATATAATTAGATAATATAATATGATGGAACTCTAAAAAACCCTGAAACTAGCGAGAGTCAAATTCTAAGTAAAACTTTTCGTAAAATCAAAATCGGCCTAAATTAATGTCTTATAGGATCTTCAATAATATTCATTCATAATTCAAATCTTTTAAATTTTTACATACTTAATATTATTATATTTGATTAATCAATGGTGAGTTTAATAAATTGTCGTGTTTCAATCAAATTAAATAGCAAAACGATTGTCATCGACCCTTTATATCGATCTCTGCGATACTTTGCTTGGTAGTTGTGGACTTTATATAGGTACAATTATTGGACAAATATATTATATACTTACATCATATATATATATATATTTATATAAAATACTTGTACCTTAAAAGGTATCGATGGAATTTTACGTGAGTATATTATATTATTACATATATATATATTTATATTTATTTATATATGTATGATATACCTACGTCATATTAATATATACATGTGATCGAACAAGAGTCGCAYGTCCGCGTAGGAATTTCTGAAGACTCTTGTATTTGTTCATGACAGAGGCAGCCTGGCGTGATCTCTAAAGCCACAGCAACGTATTTCATCCACATATACTATGTATGAATGTCTATAAAATATGTATTGTATATTAATTATTTTACACTGTACGTGGTTTAAAAGTCATCACTGCAGTAATATTTCACGTAATTTTTTTTTATTATTATTGCATATCATATTTTGCATTTTAAATTTATTTTTATGTTAAGTTGTTCTATTAGTATAATATATATACATTATTATATATATTAAGCCCACACAGATATTATGCACACCACACGCTGTATAATAATATGTTATAGTTGCAAACAAAAATACATTTYCGTCGGAATTAAACTTATACATTATGCAAATGATATTGAAATATAATTTAAAAATGTTTTAAACCTAAAAATAACGAAAATTTCATCATACTGATGATCGTTGTTAAGATTATCGAGTTATATAAACAAAAAAAACAAAGAGAAAATGAATGAATTATTTTATTTTATTGTGTTCTGTTTATAGTTCAGCCAATCGGAGTGTGGGGACTTCATAACACGACGTTAAAGGTCAAAAGCGCTTTGAAGTTGATGTGCAGAGCCAAAGGCAACCCGATGCCAGCTCTACAATGGTTCAAAGACGGCGTGCCGGTTTTGGTGGGCAGGCGAAGGATTCAATACAAAAAGTAATTATATTGCCAAGCGCTGCAAATGCTTGTGTTCGTCCTGTAACGTTATAACCTAATCGTGATGTTCCAGGAAAAGATCCATGCTTGTGATACCAAAGGTGAGGCCAGAAGACGGAGGCAAGTATGAGTGCAGAGGTACCGGAGTCCAAACCGGCCATGTGGCTATTACGTCGGCCCAAGTCATAGTTAATTCCAAACCGGACAACAGTGAGTATCTATTATATTCATCGATTAGGCAATACGCTTATAAATTATGATAATAAATTACAGCTATCATACAGTTTCCAGGTGTACTTAATACTTATTTTGGTTTTGTAAAATTGAACGTTATCACGTAGCTTAAGTCGAGATAAAATTAGGTTCTTTCCTTCGAGTTTTCGTTTAATTCTAAAACTGTTTTATTAATTCGTGAATTGTTCAATTGTAATTATAATTCGATTTGTTATGGTCACTCTAAATTTGTTATTAAAACCTCAACGATTTGTATAATTATAATCTCTA